GAAGCTTTCTTTTTTTTTTTTATTTTGCCTGGACATAGCTCGACCGTATACACACATATATATATATATATATTATACAGAGTGTGCGCGCGCGTGCTATCGAAATCAAACGACCGAGACGCGTTACCAGCGAAATCAAGCGAGACTCCAGCACGGCTCGGCTGGACATTACGACCGTTTCGCGAGCGAGAGAAGTTATGCGGATGATATAATTACTGATAAAACGTCGTTGTAACGTGACGTTTCTTTCGTACAGGCGATAGGATCGGTTGCGTGCTCGAAATAACAATAATTGCGTTACGTTTCGCTAAAATGCGTTCCTAATCGGGAACTTTTCATCGTAGTCCTTAAGCAGCGTGCGAGAGGAGGAAATTATGTAGCGAGATCGGGGCGGCGTTAGACGAGGCGTGGCCGGCACAACACGCGTGTAAACTTGGCTGGTGGCCGAGGAAAGAAAACGCCGGGATTAAGATTTTTAACAGCACCGCGCCTGATATCTCTTCGGTGGTTATAACATTATTTCGAAGCGCGGCACTTCGCGCCGTCTGTGATAACTGCTGGCACAGATCTCCCCCTCCACCCAGTTGAAATAACCGAGTCCGTTTCGTTACCTGAACCGGTGCTTCGTGGAAAAATGGAGATAAAGTTACGCGGCTTTCGAAGCAGCTTTCTACGTTCGACGCGACTTTCAGGTCGGGTGATCCGAAGCCGATTAACGTGAGATCGCCGCGGGGGAAATCTGAATGTATGTTTTCTTTGAATCGACGTTTCTCGACGTGGAACGATTCTTCGGTCGTTAGAGGCTGGTCGTGAACTTTGTCTCTTTGAAATGATCGTGCCCTGCAACTTGGTTTCGATCAGTGCGATTAGTTGACTTAATTTCTGCAGACAAATTAATCTCGTAAAGCTGGACAAGTTGTTTGTTCTCCGCGAGATTGAAAATTCTCCAGCCAGAAACTTTCGAATCGATAAACTATCGTACGACTTACAGCAAAGTCGGTACCGATGAAAATTTTCGCTAACAATCGTCGACAGATATCGAAGTCAAACGCGAGTAATTCCTCTGCATTAGTTCTACGCGGTTTCTTCCGTTGGATTGCGGATATCCTCTTCCTTTGAGAAGAACAATCGAAATCTTTTAACGATTCCACTTTTGTCTGTAATTTTTAATTGCAGGAACTGAGATTTCATATTTATGAGAATTGCACGGTAGCGGTAACGGGATACTGTTAATCCTTATTGAACTCAGCGAATGAAAATTACACGGAACGGCCGCTAAAGAGATAATTAAGAATCATTTACATTTCAATAATAATAAGCCACGGACTGTGCATTATCAAGCATATTTTCTTTCATTCATTCACGCCGTTTTAACGAGTTTGTTTCGCGTTCTCCGCAACACGATGGTTCTCCTTTTCGCGTTGTTGCAATAATAATAACGCACTTCTCCGATTCTATCGATAAAAATCGACACGTTCGCTTCATTCGGTTTGTTTCAACCTATCAAACCAAAAAAAAAAAAAAAAAAAATCTCGTTTCAGACATCTCCAAGGACACAAACTGGTACCAAAACGGTACCAAACGCGAACAGAATTTCGCAATTTCTCGCGAGGGGCCACAAGAGTGGGAAACGAGGCGCGGAGAATGGCAGAACCGGCTGGTTCCATCGGCGCAGTTCGCAGATCGGCGAACGCGTGGAGTCGACGGTGGATGGATGGGAACGACGAAAGAGGGGCACGCCGATAGTCAGCAAGTTTGCTATCCGATACACAGTGCGCGGAGGTTGGCTCCTCTTTCGAGTTTCGAAGCGTTCGAGCCGAAGCGATCGTAGTCAGGGCGGAGGAGGATGGGGAGGACGCGCGGCCGCGCCGGTGTAAGCGGCGGAATCGTCGGCCATTATGCACCGACAAAACTGACACCGGTTTCTCGTTAAATTGTAATACGGTTATCAGCCGGAACGTTCGACGCGCTTCGTCTCTATTCCCACGAGGGGGGTTGCCGCGCGATATAGTCAAAAGAGAGAGAGAGAGAGAGAGAGAAAGAGGAGGAGAGAGACGAAGAGAGAACGAGGGTGGAGGAGAACGAGGCTCGGCCGCTCGGCAAGTGCCGGTGTGTCTGATGGCGGCGCCATTTTTGTCGGGTGCGTATCATTATCGATTCACTTTTATCCATAGTGAATGAGCGTGTGTATAGCTGACTCTTTACACGAACAGGAAGTCGGAGGTTATTACACGGTACGGCACGGATAAAGTGGAGTACGCGTACCGAGCCGCTCGGGCCGCGCTCTTTAAAATATAATATCGCGAGGTTGGATGGCCGCTGTGCGCGCAACGCCGCACCGCTGCCACCGTCGTGGCTCGCTCACACGGCTGCTGCTTTTCTCTCTCTCTCTCTCTCTCGCGTGTACCCGTGATTAGAGCGGTTTTTATGGTAATGCATTTCACCGGGGGCCGCCGATCGTAAATTGCGCCGATGACCCTTTACTTGTTTTGCGGATGATCCCGCGTGGGTTTTACCTCGACCAGCGGTAATTATGAAATTTCCATCGAGGCTACCGGGTCTACCCTTCGACTCTCGTCGCCTCCGCAGCAGCGGCAGCAGCTAGCCAACTTCGTTATTAATCGCTGACCATCCCGACTTCCCTCCCCCTTCTCACTTTTCTCTTTTCAATACATTTCGGCAAGCTTTCTCTGTGTCCGGTGTTTCTTGCGTTTTTCCGAGGGTCCGCGCAAAGCTGAAATTTTCGCTCCTCGTTCGTCTCAAAATGTTGAACTCACGTTACATAATATAGATAAGTATGCACGAACGAGCGCACGAGGAACAGAGTATCGATTCTTCTTACACGTTGTTAATTCAATTCATTTCCTAATAATCGGTAACAATTAGCGAGATCCTAATATCCTAAGACCGCTCGTAGTAATTGATCGAGAAACGCTTGAATCAGAGAGAGTCTCGTTTCGGGTATCTCCGTTTTAAACGATTCAAGCATTACTAATCCAGTAACCCGATCGTTGAAACAGAACTGGGACGTGAAGTTGAAACTTTATCGACTAAACTTTATTATCTGGATCACCGGCCAAGTGGCTTTCCAAGAAAATTTTTCTTTGATCTACACTGTCTACGCCTGTCGCTGTCGTTTTAGCAAATTTTCATCGCCTTCGCGTTTCGGCGAAAACGAAGGAGGTTGTTGCCAACAAACATTCTTGACATTTTTTTTTAACAAACGTTATTGTCAATTGTCGATTTTATTTTTCACGTCGACAAAGTGAAGAAATATCTTGGTAATTATCTATCTGTATCCCACTCGAACCTCGGCTCGGCAGTGACTTCAAAGTTTCCTTCGGTAATTTCATCCGCGACGCCGTGGCGAAGAAAGCGTAGCATCGTATGATCGATGTTACTCCGCGGGTTCTGCATTATTCTTATAGTCACGGGCGTCGTAAGCTTTCTTCGTGGAACTCGCTTCGTAGAACCGCCGTCGAAACGACGAATCTAGGTTTAAAAGTTTTAATTGTAAACATGTGTAGAAGTGAAGAAGTACGTTCAAGTAGAAACAATGTTTAACGTGAACACTTTCTCGCGCGGTACTCCTAAATCGCAAAGCTATCATTACGTTTTTATCGAACAGGTTTTCTTCAGGGGAGACTGTCAATTATTTAGAAATTGTCAAGAACTCTGGTTCCGAGAGTTCTCCATTATTCAGTTCAGTTCGTTGTCGCTGTAGCGTGGAACTTTTGGAAATAACAACGCCGGTAGATTCTACGATCAATCGATAGACTTTCAAGCGTGTGGCACAGACGTGCCCGCCGACGTTTCAACATTTTAATTATGAAATACATTAGCGATGTAACGTTTTCACGGTTGGGAACGGTTTACTTTGACCGGACGCGCAACATCGCCATTTTCTTATTAACACGGACTCGATTTTAACTTGTCGGGGCAGAGTCAAAATTCATGTTCGAAGATAAATCAACCCACTTCGCGTCTCATCAATTTCACGTTTAATTACGCGCTAATTAATTTTCCAATTACTTTCGACCATTGCCGCAAACTTTTGGGCCATATTGAAAGAAGATTATTTGCATCCTCTCGGTCTCGATTATTAATTACCTCGTCCGAGATCACTTCGTCAAATCAGTTCCTCTTCCAGCATCTTGACGATCGTGTGGCAGCGTACTTTTATCTCTCCTGATTTCTCTATAATCAAAACGAGTTTAAAATACCTATATACATAAATACACATTAAAAAGATGAAGCGAATTACAATGAGATGCCCTTTGATTACAATATATCAGATAGATTCGCAATATACATTATTAATTAATGAATAGTTAATCGGCGATCAATAGATGCACATACCAATGGTCCATTTCGAATATCTATCGCAACGTTTTACTTTCGTTGCAAAACTTCAACTCCCTAAATATACTAATCATTGACGTTAATTTTACCTGTCGTCGATTTCTACGCATTTGCGTAAAATTTAGAAATTCAACAACGAATAGTATTTATTGCATGGAATAAAATATCGAAAACAAGTAACATTTTACGTACGATGTAATATGAAACTTAAATTTTCAAGGTCGTATTCTTAACATATCTGAACCAGCTACACGATGCAATAAAAAAAAAAAAAATACATGTAATTGCACGAAGAAAGAAAAATACCAGTGATCTTGAAAACTCCGAAAAAACGATCTTGTCAAAAAAGAATATTCTTACCATCAAGTATCGATACTATTCTTGTTAGGCGAAAAGTAATTAATTCTTTGTATCGTCGCAATTCGAAAAGATATTTAAGTGGCCTTGCATTTGAATGGACTACTCCAGTGTATGATAATAAGCGATGATTCACGAACGTTCACCTTTGTGCCATCATCCTTCGTTCATTTTTTTTTTTTTTATTTAAAATCGCATAGCCCTTTCGCAATAAAATCTCGCAACGACTCACACGACGTTTATCGTCCGCGTAGTTATTGTTGAGATATTTCTCGATAGAGCGCGTTGGAGGACAAGCGCGTAGCGACACGCGTCCAGCGGTGTACGCAGAGAAAAAGTTCTCACCGTTCGAGAGAAAAATGTGAATCATCGCGACTAAGCTTTGTATGATGCTTTATCGTGAAAAAATCGACAAGTGTGACGACTATTGACGTTGGACGCGACGCAAATATGTTGAGTTCGATCGAATCCTCGACTAGCTGTGGTTAATACGCGACTCTAACCTATAACAATGTGGGGACTCGTCGGCCTCGCGATGCTTCTTTGTTTCTTGAACAGAAGCGTCGCGGCCTCTTATTGTTACCCGGACTACTGTCAGAACGTGGTAATTCTTTCTTCTGTGTTTCTTAACTTTTCGAATTCTCTGTCGATTGGTTTCTCGAACACTTCGTGACGCCTGTTTACACGTTCGTTTACTTTTCGCAGACAAAGCTGGCTGCTACGCCTGATTTTCAGTGTCTGTTGACAAAAGCTCAAAAAAACGAAGGTACGTATCTATGTATGGGTGATGCGACGCAACATGCATTTTTAGCATACACACAAGATATCGTATATATAGAATTATTTTCACTTTTCTTTCTTCTGTAGACTGCACCAAACTCACATTCGATGGTTATAGTCGTTACCCACCAAACGGCGAAACAGCCAAGTTTAATCTACGCGCGTACACATACGAGGAATCTGGATATAAATGGACGGCTTTCAACTTCAGCGTTACCAATGTGGACTTTCGTGGTAAGAAAGTCATCGTAGAGTAAAATGACTACGCATTGTCACTTGGACTGTCACATCCTTATTTCTGCAATTGAACAGAACTGGTTACACGTTATCAGAGTTTACTGAATGAAAATGAGTCAATCTGTAGATACATAGAAGTCCATGGGAACGAAACTGACCCAGCTCCAAAGGAATTGTACGTTTCTTGTCCATTTTCTGACGAATCCTACGAGTCAGTCCCGTACCGGTTAGAGTACCTAGTAACAGGAGAAAAGTACAAGTATAGCAAAAGATACGTTTTCAATGTACCTGTGCACAGATTTATCGGTGAGTCTTTGCGTCGGACCATTTTTTTCGTTGAATGAGAATAAGCAGTTGTGTGTTCGTTCAATGTTGACCGTTTCTCTCGAATCTGTCCTATCTCAGGAGAAGATGTAAGTATAAAGGAATATAGACCGTTTGTATATATCGATGTGTCTTACGCTCCCCTTCTTTCGTTGCACGTTCAACCAATGCCAGAAGTATATAACATAACAGGATATAAAGTCTGGTTGATAAACAACGATACGGATTTCGCAAAAGCATTTAATATGACGAGCGAACAAGATTTCCGATACAATTTTACCGCGCACACCGGCGTGTTTTATTTTAAAGTTGCTGTTATGCATCCGGAATGTGGCGACTATGGATGCGTAAATAGCACCACGCCCTTTATCATTATACGTAAGTAAACAAACATTGTCTACGCGTGTCTATATTATCTTTTAGTTTAAATATCGAAAATATTACATTGTAATTGTTTTTTTTTTTTTTTTTTTTTGCAGAGGAAACGTCTCACCGTCTGCTAATCATGATTATTAGCACCGTGTGGATACCGCCAGTGATACTATACGTTCTTTATCATCTGTACAAATTGTATAGAAAGGGTAAAGTTGCAACGTCTGCGAAATATTTTCACGAATGCCGATTTGAGATTCTATCTGGTGGATTTTTGTAGAAGCAACGAAAAGGAGAGGGAAGCCAAAATGTTTGTTAGTTTACTCACCAACGCGACTATCGCATATCAACGTAATGATCGAGCTGGCGAAATACTTGAGAATCTGCGACATTAACGCTATGATAGACATGCTCGACGTTACGGATACCATCGGCAAAGTTAGTGCATGTTTATTTCAAACGGAGATAAACTGTCTGAACATCTTTTCACGGAAACCGTAATCTCTCGGTATGTTGTGCTTCTGACGCAGGGTCCGGAATGTTGGTGCGACGCCGCGTTCCGAAACGCGGACGTCGTCCTTATCGCAACTTCTCCACCGCCTGAGAAACCTGCGGTCTCGACCGTTTATCACAACACCGGCAATTATCTTCTACGACTGGTCAAAGAAAGTCAGTCGCAAAAAGAGAAGCGCTGCTACATCGTGCAGTTGCCGTATTGCAAGTCGGACGACGTACCGGAAGAAACGAGGCATTTCAAGAGACTTTGCTTGCCAAAAGAACTGACGAAACTTGTGAAAATTATTCACAAGATGGAGCACGCAAGATGCGTTTCCTCGGTATCCGACCGTGAATTTTTGGACAGCGTGAAATTAGCGAAACTCGAGATACTAAAGGAAGATGCGAACGTTGCGAAAGACGAACGAGAAACTGGTTAGTTTTTTCATTTTTCTTTAGTAACTCTAATATTTCGCAGCCTCGTAATCCATATACCGATATTGTAGAAAACCTTTTGTCGTCGGAAAACACGGAAATATCGAACGACCGGACTTTTCCATCGACCATGCTGAACGATAACGGTGTGTCCAGATCGTTCGCAACTAATATCGACGAATTAAACTTACTGGGAGAGAGCGGAGACAGTGAGGAGGTACGTACTCGTAAATCCTCCAAGGACGATACTTGCGCGTTTCGTATCGACGAATTGAACTTGTGATTTTGTTTCAAGTATACGCCCTTTATTCGTAATGTTACGAACAAATTTAAGACTTACGTAAGGTAGATAATTTTTTAAGATGTAAAACTTTTTTTTTACACATATACTGATTTAACTTAATAAATGCTAATTCCTTTTGTTACCATGCAACTCCTCCGTGCCTATTTCTTGCGACTTGAGTCTTTACAATTGTCCCTCTTGAAAACGAAACTGATCGACTCCATACGTTATAAAGTCATCACTTTAACCTGACGTGCATACAATAATAATAATAATAATAATTTTTTTGTTGAATTACAAAGAGAGATTGTGTAAGTGATTGTACGTTTCAAGGAAAATTTGTCATCCTTTTGTGAGTTTCAATTTATACAGTTGATCAACATGATTTCCAAGTGACTCGATTCGTTATATCGCAAGCGTATTAAATATATATATATCTTTTTACATATGCATACACGTGCATATGTTTCAGCACGACATTAACGATGATGTAATGCTAACAGTTGAGTTCACACGACATGTGCCTATGCTAAGTACTAATCGATCCCTGGAAAATAAGTAAATATACAGTGCTATATATATATGTATGTATATATATATATATATATGTATAACTAAATTTGTACTTGGAGGTTTGCGTGATAAACGCAACTGGTCAATTAATATAACGAAATGAAATGTTCTACTTTGTACAAAAGTAAACAGAAAGAAAAAAAAAAAGAGACAAATTCATTTGTCGTGGCATAAATAGCAGTCTTGAGTACAATTACATCGATCGATAACGCTCGGAATAATCGAGCTTTTTTGCGTGTCGTTGTTGCTGTGTAATAGTTGAATCTCTGTTTCGTGCAATAATTTCATTCTAAACGGTACGTTGAAAGATATTGGAAGCCGCTGCGACGAGGGATCGAACAGGAAGCTTTAAAGTTGGATAAATAGTTTCAGCGTGTAATTAACGCCATTCTTTTTTTTGTTTTGTTTTTCTCTTTCAACGACTTGTCACGCAATCGATGGCGAAATTACCAAAGGTCGTTTGCAGAGTTAATTGGACGTTAGTCAATTACTAGGAAGTTAAGGGTGGCTCGTGTTAACGGGAAGCCATTTACTTTGTCTCGTTGGAATTCAGATGACGAAACAAATGTGGAGAATTCCTGTTAGTTCGAATCGAACGTTCTCCGTCGTAAAAAAAAAAAAAAGATCCAAGAGCATACAAACTGACAACACGAGAAACTAAATTAAATAAACTAGTTGAACAGGAATCTGACGACTTGCGTGAGAAAATGTAATGCAGCAGCGTGTCGATTCCCGTTCCACCGATCGCGTTCTTGCCTCTTAAACAAGCGTATCGATCTATTTGGATTCGGATACGCTATCTGGGTGTTTGTCCGCCTGCAAGGTGCATCGATTTGTGTTCTTACGTGCGACACGTACGTACACCTAACAGGAAGAAAGGAAAACAGTATCAAAGCTGTTCGTAGCTCACAACCGTCGTCGTTCACTCGACGATATTCACGTCGAACGAAAAATGAAAAAAAAAGAAAAGAAAGGCACGAGTTATCGTCATCGAAATCGTCCGTTCTTCAGGATCTCTGATTTTCTCGCGGGCAATCGATTTTCAGTTAGAGCGAGCCTGTTGATCACCGTTGTCGTTTCCATTGGCAAAGACAAGTAACTCCTCCGCTTCCGGTTCCGATTCTATCTCCGCCTCTGTCTGCGAGGATTTCTTGCCCTCCATGTCGATGTAGGATTGCGCCGGACGTTGGCTGGTCGGCGTGACTAGATCGTTGTCGCTGTTGCTGGCGACGCTTGTGTTTCTGAACTTGATAGGACTCTCGTAGTGGCCAACGGGAAAACTCGGTGACCGATCGTTCACGTACAGTTTGACCGATTCCTCGGGGAAAATAGCCGCGGATTCCTGCCAGAGGGCATGGAGTTTGTCGACTTTATCACATTTGGTCACCAGGTCGGAACACGGTCTCTCCAGATAGTTGACCACGTCGGTTCTCAGAGTATCGATCTCGCAAACATCGTCCGTCGTGCCGTCGTTGCCAGAACCTGTCGCAGTAAAAATCGTTCGGGACATTGACACTAGAGAAGACGAGACGAGAAAGTACAGGGTTTCAGAAAAGTATCATAAATGAATTCTATACCTTCGATTTGACGGAGGTACATGTAAAAAATCTGCCGTAAGATTAATCTTGAATTTCAAAGTAAAATTGTTTTTTTTTTTTCTCGCATTGTATTCTATTCATCATGAAGGTAAAACTTTTCCAATGAATCACAGGTCGTATTTTAATAGTTCTTTTGAAAAATGGCAAAAAAGTTTTTCGATCATTCACCACTGCGGATACATGCGTTCTAACAGCGACTTTATAGTTCTTGATTAAGTTTCACTAGGATTTGATTTATCATAGTTGTAGCATCAGTGTAAATCTGAATAATTAAATTTTAAAACCAGCTGTTAACATTACGTAATATAGACGTTCACGCGTCCAGAACCATAAAGCTGCTAGGACACACGCGTTAAATGATTAAGAAACTTTTTTACTATTTTTCAGGAGAATTATTAGGTTGCTTGCAAAAAGTTTTACCTTCGTGGCAAATAGAATACAATGCAAACAAAATAAAAAAATTTCAACCTTAAAATTTAAGATCAAGGTCAATTTTGTGACAGATTCTTTACACGTATCTCCATCAAATCGAAGGTGTAGAATTCACTTATGATAGCCACGAACAAGCTTTTCTTTCCACCCTGTACATACATTATTGTACGTACTGCATGGACTGTCCAACGCGTGAAGCAAAGCAAAGTAGGCCTGATTGTGAACGGTCCTCGGGTTCAGATCCAAATACTCGATGCTGTCCTCCAGCATCTTCTCCCAATGGCTGACAAGTTCCTTGAAGGATGGCCTCATTGCGGGTTCTTGATGCCAGCACGACGTCATCAGCTTGTACCTGTTGTTACAAATATTGGTTCAAATGTTAGATTCAAGAATGGTTACATAAATCCACTCACAATTGTTGCGAACAGTTTGCCGGTCTCTCCATGCGGTATCCTGCCTTGAGTAAATTGTAGAGATTGTGCACGTCCACGCCTGGATAGGGGGACGCGCCCAAAGTGACCAACTCCCAAAGAAGAACACCGAAACTCCAAACGTCCGACTTGCTGGTGTAGACGTGATCCGCTAGCGATTCAGGTGCCATCCATTTTACCGGCACTGGAGGAAAATTGCCATGGCAAAGTATAGCATGGTATTAGAACACGCGAATTTATTTATTTTTTAAATAAACACTTGTAAAGAATAGGTGGTGTTGGTTCTTTTTAGATCATCCTTTCATGTAACGTGTCCTTTATGTATATTTATAACAATAAAGTCCTTAATCACTTGCGCTGGCAATTGAATGCGGATCATAACGAGACCAAACCGTATACAACAATTCGTCTTCTCTTTGAATTCCTTTTGAATATCACTGGATATAAATTACTAAGAAGTAATAAATTTATTATTTGTTTTGCCTAGGTTATACTTAAATATACATGAAAAAATATTGCAATTTTGGGACAAAAGATTCTCGACGTGCGCAGCACGTCATTCCAGCGCAAGAGGTTAATCTCTTGTACTGGCAATTGACTGCGGACCATAACGAGTGACCAAACCGTATACAATAATTCGTCGCTTTCTTCTTGAATTCGTCGGTATGATATCACTGGATAGAAATTATTGAGAAGTAATAAATTTATTATTTGTTTTGCCCGAGTTATACTTAAATATACTTAAAGTTGAGAAAATATTGCAATTTTGGGACAAAAAATACTTGACGTGCGTGGCACGTCATTCCAGCGCAAGAGGTTAACCACTTGTACTGACAATTGACTGCGGACCATAACGAGACCAAACCATATATAACAATTCGTCTTCTATTTGAATTCTTTTTGAATCGGTATATCACTGGACAGAAATTACTAAAAAGTAATAAAGTTATTATTTGTTTTGCCCGAGTTATACTTAAATATACTTAAAGTTGAGAAAATATTGCAATTTTGGGACAAAAAATACTTGACGTGCGTGGCACGTCATTCCAGCGCAAGAGGTTAACCACTTGTACTGGCAATTGATTGCGGACCATAACGAGTGACCAAACCGTATACAATAATTCGTCGCCTTCTTTTTGAACTCGTCGGTATATCAAAATTGAGAAAATGTTGCAATTTTGGGACAAAAAATTCTCGACGCGCGTGTCACGTCATTCGAGCGCAAAAAGTTAAAGCTTCTTTTGTGGCAAAAAAATTACGAAAACGAGCCGAGGCGGGATCTTTTGGACACCACTGTATGCGGGGACTCGCTATTATAACGGGATTAAACTGTTGGGAGGCTTTAGCTGTTGAAATTGTCTTCTGGAAAATCCCCAGAGAAGAATTATCACGTCAAGAGGAGTGTCCAGACTTGAAGAGGCATTTTGAGAGAAAAAGAGGAAAAGAAGCAAAACGTTTCCATTTTAGCGGAAGAGAGAAACGTCGTACCTCGTCCTTTGCTGCGCTTCAAGTAGGCGTCGTCCTCGTAAACGTCCCTTGTCAGCCCAAAGTCCGAGATCTTGCAGACCTTCTCGGCCGCGAGCAGCACGTTCCTCGCCGCAAGATCTCTGTGAACCAGCTGGGCCAAGTTTTCAACGAGAGTTAGTTTCCGAGTTAGCTTTCAAATTTTCGAATATGTAAATGACCACGCGAAATGGCGTGATAATACCTTGATGTCGGCGAGATAGGCCATTCCCTTGCTGATCTGCCAAGCGAACGAGAGAATGTCGCGCGGCGTGACCGTGTACACGGGCCGTGTCCCCTCCTCCTCGCAGGCAACCACGTTGGACAAGGACGTGCAACCGTCGCTTCTAATTCCGGATTCCAAGTGTCGGCTGCGCCTCAAGTAATTCCTGCAAAGTTTCCGCGTATCCTGCGTTCGTAATATCGAAGTCGTCGCCCGTTTGTCGCCAGCTGGTGTTTTTTTTTTTTTTTCTTTCTTTCTTCCCACCGCGCGTTTACGTATTCGCCGTAACTCCGCGTGAAACGTACGCGGCGTGGAAGAAGAATTTAATTAACGCGTGGCGCGCATTTCTCGCGGAGCGGTTATCGTCCGACGCGGCGCCGCTGGCGTGGGGTCGGCTCGAGAATTCACGCGATAAGAATTTCACTGTTTTCGTACAAATCTGCATCGTGAATTGACTCACGTACAAACTTATTCCTTGGCCGCATACATATAAGCATTTCATTTATTTCAATTTGCGATCAGCTGTATAATTTTGTTCATTTATTATTTTCCTAAGATAGAGAACTATATTTATACATAAGAGCATTTTCATTTTAATGTATCATATGTTGTTTTATATGGTTTTTCTTTTGTTTTGCTTTTATTTAGTTCATTTTGTTCTACTTTATAATGAGCAAAATAAATATGTGATAAGTAGCTTTAGTTAAGTATTTCCATGGTTAGATTATTGTCAGAAGTAAGTTGAAAGATTTAGTACTAGAAGATTAGTATTATATCCGTCATTGTAACATTAGCAATTATGTTTAAATAAAATGCGTGTAGAGGCAGTATGTATGGACAATGAGAAGGTTTAGTTTATTCTATTCTACTTTATAATGAGCAAAATAATTATATAAGTAGCTTAGTTAAGTATTTTAATGGTTAGATTATTGTCAGAAGTAAGTTGAAAGATTTAGTACTAGAAGATTAGTATTATATCCATCATTATATTAGTAGTTATGTTTAAGTAGAATGTGTGTAGAAGCAGTATGTATGGAGAATGAGAAGGAGCAGAACCTTTGCAATCCAATAGGAAAACAATAAAGATCTATCTATCTACCATTTAAGAACAGAAAATTGTTTAATTATATGGATATAGGAGATTGCAATAGGAAGAATATTCCTTTGAATACTTATTTAATAAGACAGAAAGCACGAAATATTTTTTCGTCGTATTAAAAAAAAGATTATTTATTTATTTTATAGTCATTTGCGCTGGGGGACGTATATCTCGCGTTATAAGGGGTGCTTATTGTAGTAGTAAAGATACTTAGCGAGGATGTCATTGCCACTCACCGCAAAGAGCCAAATTCTGCGAATTCGATGATGAGGTAAACCGGGGCGCCGGGTGTGGTGCAGGCACCTAACAACCTGATCACGTTCGGGTGCTGAGCTTCTTTCAGCAACTGATACTCAGACAACAGGTCGGCCAGTTCAGAGGCGCAGGCGTTCTCCTTCAGAGTTTTCACCGCGACCGTCGTCGGCCCTGCGATCCCCGCGATGTCGATCGCTTTGGCGCGCAACACCCGGCCGAATTCACCTTCGCCAAGTACTTGCTTGATGGTCAATCGTTCCCGTGGAAACTCCCACTTCGGGTCCGGCTGGCGAAACAAGATCGGTTCAACGATTCCTCGACGGTCGTGCAAGGTATTGAATCGGTCGTCAAACAAATAGCAGGATTGGAAGCAACGAAGATGGAAGATTCGAGGGAGAGACTCACCGGACACGTTTTAGGGAGAAGAAGATGACGATTCGCCGCGGTGAAGGTGTCCAAGCCGATGAGCAAACCGTCGCCTCGGTCGACGTAGTCCGAGGATAATATGCCGATTACGTTCGAGTCGACGCCGTCGACCCTGCGTTTGCCGTCTCGTCGAGCCTCCTTCGCGGCCAGCCTGAAACGCAAAATTCCAGCATTCTCCTTAATGATGAAAGGCAATTATCGTTAAACAGTCGAAAGTCATCTTGACTTTTTAAGAGAAGAGAAAAACTTTCTTAATCATTTAAAACTGCGTGCGTTCTAACAGCGACTTTATAGTTCGTTTATATTTCCAATAATGTTAACAGTTGGTTTTATTATTTAATTATTTAGACTCGTACTGCACACTAATAGTTCTCTTCTTTTCTTCTTAAGTTTCTTAATTTAATACTGCAGACGCGCGCGTTCTAACAGCGACTTTACGGTTCTGGATGTAATGTTTATATTTCGAATAACGTTAACAGTTGGTTCTATTATTTAATTACTTAGACTCACACTGTACACTAATAGTTCTCTTCTTTTCTTTTTAAGTTTCTTAATTTAATACTGCAGACGCGCATGTTCTAACAGCGACTTTATGGTTCTGGACATAATAGTGTGAATGCAATGTTTATACTTCGAATAACGTTAACAATTGGTTTTATTATTTAATTATTTAGACTCACACTGCACACTAATAGTTCTCTTCTTTTCTTCTTAAATTTCTTAATTTAATACCGCAGACGCGCGCGTTCTAACAGCGACTTTATTATTCTGGACATAATAGTGTGAATGCAATGTTTATACTTCGAATAACGTTAACAGTTGGTTTTATTATTTAATTATTTAGACTCACACTGCACACTAATAGTTCTCTTCTTTTCTTCTCAAGTTTCTTAATTTAATACTGCAGACGCGCGCGTTCTAACAGCGACTTTATGGTTCTGGACGTGGTAATGGCGTGGATGCAATGTTTATACTTCGAATAACGTTAAAACAGCTGGTTTTATCATTTGATTATTTAAACTCACACTGATGCTACAACTATGATAAATCAAATTGTTAGTGAAACCTAATCTGACTGATGTAACAATAAAGTCGCTGTTAGCACGCACGCGTCCGCAGTATTAAATAATTAAGAAACTTTTTTGTCATTATTAGATTGCAATCTGCGATTCCTTGGAAAAGTTATACCTTCGTGACGAGTAGAATACTATGCAAGAAAAGAAAATTGTTTTTGACCTTGAAATTCTCAAGGTCAAGATCAATTTTGCGGCAGGTTCTTTACACGTATTTCCATCAGATCGAAGGTGTAGAATTCATCTATGACAGCCACCGAACAAACTTTCCTTCCCACCCTGCACATTTCGAACATTTTCGAAAGACGAACGCAAACAGCCGCGGCGGTGAACTTTTTCAATATCGCGCGCACGCCGTTTCGCCGTAACGTTGATGCTCGTTTCCCTCCTGCTATCTTCGAGTAGATGGTTAAAAAGTTTTTATCCCACGATCTCGACTCGATGAAGCTTTCGAGGCAGCAGGCGTCCCCTCGATACGCACGACAAAAGGAACGTTTGATTCAACGTGGCTCGTTTGATAAACGCAGCCGTCGATCGAACATCGTTATCAAAAGCGTCCCGGGGACTCGAGTTTCTGGGTTGCTCCCTTTCTTTCGGAAACCGTTCGGATCGAACGATCGAGCACAAAGGATTCGTTCGTGAGTTATCTGGAATTTGACCAGCTGTAATTCTCCAGCTGTCGGCGGGGAATTACAGCCGCCACGCGTTTCGCCTCTCTCGATTTTCGTGCAAACATTAATGCGAACACGCTTAGCCATTGGTCACGTTTCACGATCTCGAGTCTGCCGAGGTCTGTTTCGGAAACGCGCCGGATTGCTTACTTACCTGTATCTCGACGTGACCAAAGAGCCAACGATCGCTATCAGTACGAAGAAACTGCCTCCGATCACGCCTATCATGCAAATGGGTCCGCACGGTCCGTGAGACGCTGCGTGAGAAACAAACAAAAGAGATTGAAACGTTTCGTTATCACGAGCGGCTAAAAGTAAAGTTGCTGAAGCTATTTATTATATTGTTAAAAAAAAAGTAGAAAATTGTAACGTAAACAGATGTAGAAAAAAAAATAAAATATTGTAACATAAATAGATATTAGAATTTAAAAATATTAATATTTCTTGTATTAGAATGTAAAAGTATTAATATTTTCTTATGTTAGAATATAAAAATATTAATATTTTCTTATATTAGAATATAAAAATAATATTTTCTTATATTATAATGTAAAAATATTAATATTTTTTTATATTAGAATATAAAAATATTAATATTTTTTTTATGTTGGAATATAAAGGTATTAATATTTTTTTATATTGGAATATAAAAATATTAATACTTTTTTATGTTGGAATATAAAAATATTAATATTTTCTTATATTGGAATATAAAAATATTAATATTTTCTTATACTAGAATGTAAAAATATTAATATTTTTTTATATTAGAATATAAAAGTATTAATATTTTTTTATGTTGGAATATAAAAATATTACTATTTTTTTACGTTAGAATATAAAAATATTAATATTTTCTTATATATAAAAATATTATTTTCTTATATTAGAATGTATTTCTTTATATATAAAAATATTATTTTCTTACATTGGGATGTAAAAATATTAATATTTTTTTATATTAGAATATAAAAATATTAATTTTGGAACAGAAAATATTAATTTTACGATGCTTATTGCCTTTGCAGAATCTTTAATCCTTTCGCTACGACGGGCGACTAAACGTCACCAAACCTGTTCATTAAATATTACAGAAAAAAAAAGATAAAATATTGCAAAATCTTAATAGACATTACAATATAGAAATATTGATTTTCCAATGTTCACAAACGCTTATTTCAATGCACAATTACACGTGCTGAAGTCTTTGAAGCTGAATGTCTTGTTTCAAGTACAAAATCATTTGGTATTAAGACAAGTATTGCGAGAGCAAATCTTCGAGGCGTTGTGCAAACCGGAAACGCCAAAGGCCGCTTGCGTGTGAATTGTATGTATCACACAATTATGACACAGCGGTCGGTCGAGCAAAAACGATCAGAAGACCAGACTCGCGGTAGCGAAAGAGTTAACACGTAGAAAGGACGAGCAACGCGCGAGCAGCAATCGCCAAAGGCGATCCTTTGGAACCTTTTCGGGCACCGGATATCAAAATCTCGTTCTCCTCGTTCTGCGACTTCCTCTCTTTGCCTTCTTTCCCCTCCTTGTTGGCCCTCGCGGGATTCTCGTGTCGGACGCGGAAACGATCCACGTTGCAAGTGCACTGCAGCACGTCGTTGCACGCGCAGGTTCCCAAACCGCTCTTGATCCCCCGTCCGTTCTTGTTTATGTGAGCAAAGTGGACGTCCGCTGAAACACGAGACGCGGGATTGGATTGTTGGAAATCGTCGCGAAGAAAACGGGAAAAGGGAATGGAGCTTACATTCTTCCGTGCAATCCTGAGGACAGATGCGACGATCCAACAGTTCGAGTTCGTCGCACTGGTTGTCGGGACAGTGAGACAAATTAGGGGAACAGGTCGGATAATATTCGGACATGATGGAGGCTTGGTTCGAGCGTTTGTTCCATCTCCACACGCACTGACCGGAGAAGTTGCCTTTGCTGAAAATCGGACGGGATCGAAGTGAGATCGTCGAACGTTTTGCACGTGCAGTGTGTTTAATAAGAAACGTAGACGCCCTTTTCTCTGAAAAGATATATTAATATTACAATGAATTTCGTAATACGGATTCAAAGTACACTTAAAATACAGGGTGTCCATAAAGTCTCTTTGCAATTTCAAGAATTTATTACAAAGGCAAATGAAAAGACAGATAAGTGGAAATTATTACAGAATGAGACGTATGTATTTAAGTTCTTTTTTTTTTTTCCTCATTTAATACACCTGTATATAGGTACCATCACTAATAATGTCCATATAGAGGTTTATTAAAAGACATAAATATACAGGGTGTCCATAAAGACTCTTTACAATTTCAAAAATTTACTACAAATGCAAATGAAAAGACAGATAGGTAGATATTATTACAAAATGAGACGTATATATTTAAGTTTTTTTCTTTGCCTCATTGGTAACCTTGGTAACCACCGAGTACATGGAACAAATCTGACGAAGATATCTCATCAATTCCCTTTGTAATAAATTTTTGAAATTGTAACGAGACTTTATGGACACCCACATGGGGTTATGTTAAAGATATCGTGTATCGAAGTAAGGGACATTACTAATCTATAGCAGAGGATCACTAATGCCATTGGCACCATTGATGAGGGTATGCCACAGCGAACATGGCAAGAAATCGAGTACAGTCTTGATGTGCTTCGTGCAACTAATGGTACCCATATAAAAATGTATTAAATGAGGCAAAAAGAAAAGAACTTAAATACATACGTCTCATTTTGTAATAATTTCCACTTATCTGTCTTCTCATTTGCCTTTGTAATAAATTTTTGAAATTGTAGAGAGACTTTATGGACACCTTGTATATTTATATTTTTAATACACCTCTATATGGACACCATTAGTAATGGTACCTATACAGAGGTGTATTAAATGAGGCAGAAAAAAAAACTTAAATATATACGTCTCATTTTGCAATAATTTCCACTTATCTGTCTTTTCATTTATCTTTGTAATAAATTTTTGAAATTGTAGAGAGACTTTATGGACACCCCGTATATTTATATCTTTTAATACACTTCTATATGAACACCATTAGTAATGGTACTTATACAGAGGCATATTAAATGAGGCAGAAAAAAAAACTTAAATATATACGTCTCAGTTTGTAATAATTTCCACTTATCTGTCTTTTCATTTATCTTCGTAATAAATTTTTCAAATTGTAAAGCCACTTTATGGTCACCCTGTACTTTAGGTGTACTTTGCTAATCCGTACTTTATAATATTCATATTTCTTCTCAGAGAAATGGCATTCACGCTCCTAATTAATTACACTGTGCAAGTGTGGCGATTGGCCACCTGTAAAATCCACTGGCGACGCCGCAGCTGGACTCGCAGTCCTCCGGTGTTTCCGCGTTGGCGCACGAGTGCATTCGGCCGATCTTGCCGTGGCTGCACGCGTCCACCTTCGACGCTGGCACGTTGCTCACGTTGACCTTGATCGTCCTCGAGGAAACGACGCGATCCTTCGCGCTCCACTTGACCTTGAGCCTGAAAGACACGGGCCCGTGCGATCGAATGACTGATCGTATATATCGGCGCGCGGCTACGAACGGATGGATCGCGACTTACACCAAGTTTGTCGACTCTGTCCTCAGCAAGTCCTCATCGGCGACGTAGACGATGCCACCTTTATGGGTGACGGCGAACGCGCTCGACCCGTGAACGCTGAAAATGAGCGATGGTTGCGGCTCGGTGCTCGGTTTCGCGACTCGGGTGTAACGAGGCGCTAGTCGGGCGACCTTTACGCCCGAGGGGTACGAGAATGACTGTTGTTTGCCGGACGACGTCGGCGACACGGTGGTCGTGGTGGTGCGATGCTCCGGCCCGTGGAATGTCACCGTGATGTTCAACTGTCGAGAGGAAACATCGCTGTCTTTGCAGATTCGTTGTTATACGAGGGGGCAGAATCGAGAACTAGAGCCTAGGTGTGTCCACTCGGAGAGTAAAATCGTACTCGCGAGTTCCCCTCGAGAGTATTTCACGCAAATGGATACTGTTTGGAGAGTTACTGTCCGAGAACATCGCTCAACCATCTGAGAGTCGAATGAACACCTGCTCGCAAATGGACACGGATATTACACTGCTCTCGGAGAATTCGGAGCGGTTTCGAAGTCCTGAGAGTACTCTCGTGCAAGCAGAATAATGAATAATAAAAGAAATTCTGGTCGAAAAGTGAAGAAAAATTGTTGAACTAATTTCTTTGAATTTAAATTATTATATGATAATTTAAATATTATAAGTTTCCCTCTTGCAATTATTATAATAATAAATTATAATAATGCATTGTGTATTATGTTATAATAATGAATCATAATGCATTGTGTGTTATGTTATAATAATGAATTATAATGATGCATCATGTATTACGTTATGTTATAATAATAAATTACAATAATGCATTATATATTATGTTGTGTTATAATAATGAATTACAATAATGCATTATGTATTATGTTCTGTCATAATAATAAATTATAATAATGTATTATGTATTATGTTATGTTATAATAATGAATTACAATAATGCATTATGTATTAAGTTATGTTATAATAATAAATTACAATAATGCATTATCTATTACGTCATGTTATAATAATAAATTAGAATAATGCATTATGTATTATGTTCTGTCATAATAATAAATTATAATAATGTATTATGTATTATGTTATGTTATAATAATGCATTATGTATTAAGTTATGTTATAATAATAAATTATAATAATGCATTATCTATTACGTCATGTTATAATAATAAATTAGAATAATGCATTATGTATTATGTCCTGTGATAATAATAAATTATAATAAATTATAATGCATTATGTATTATGTTGTGTTATAATAATAAATTATAATAATGCATTATGTATTATGTTGTGTTATAATAATAAATTATAATAATGCATTATGTATTATGTTCTGTCATAATAATAAATTATAATAATGCATTATGTGTTACGTTATATTATAATAATAAATTACAATAATGCATTATGTGTCACATTATGTTACAATAATAAATTAAAATAATGCATTATGTATTATGTATCATATTAATAAATTAATAAATTAATAAATTAATAAATTAATATACAATAATAAATTAAAATAATGCATTATGTATTATGTATCATATTAATAAATTAATAATAATAAATTAAAATACTGCTAAATTATAATATAATAATAACGTATTGTGTATTATATATTGTTTTATAACAACACATAATTATATATGGTTGTCCTGACCTAAATTCGCGAAAAATCCGAGGAAGGAATTTTCAACGAAGCGGCGGAGAACGAGTCCGGAGCGCTTCGACGCTGGACCGAGGTTCGCGTGCGAATTGAATTTGACAGGCGGTGATGTGAAAAAATGAAAAATGTTCAGTCCGCGGTTAAAAACGAGATCGTCCGATCCGCCGAGAGAAGAGGAGAGAGGCAACGCCACCAGATCGCCCGATTCCCTGGAAATTTCAACCAGTTTTTCGTGGGCGTGCATAGACACCCGGCGGCCGCGGCTGAAACGTTGAAATCGCAAGTTCCGTTTAACAGAGATAATGGACGGCTTCCGCCCACGCGTCGACCGTTCTGCAGTTTCTCAACGTCGAACGATTTCCATTAATTTCTCGTTTAATCTGCTCCTCGAAACCGCGCCCAGCCAACGCTGCGCTCTCTCGCGCAGCCCTTGCCTCCGCCTAATTGTTTAACGAGTCGCGATTACGCCAGCCGAGCGGTGCTACGCAACACGACAGAAACAAGGAAGTATTGGCGCGAAGCTCACCGTGTTTTCCCCGTATCCTGCAATCAGAGACTCGTCCTTCACCTGAAGTATCACGCGATACGGCGACTTTGGCAGAAGAGTGGTCTTTGCGAAAATTTCTGTAACAGAGAAGGAGGAAGGGAAGTGTATCTCATTCGTTCTCTGAGCTATTCGTTGAACGAGAAGCTCTTGGTGTTTCTTAACGGCGGCATTGTAGCATTTTCCCCCCCATTGTTCCGTTCACCGATTCCTCGTTTCCTTTTTGTGATTAAATTCATCGTTTAATTTGGAATTTTCACTTCAATGCCGGCAATTCAGCCGTTTGAAACGTTTAATTAACACAATGACATTTGTCTTAATTAACTTACAGCGGGGGGGCACAATTGTACCAGTAATAATGAAAAATTTTCAGAGATTATGTAACTTTGTTGTATAGTAACTTGGACTCATTTTAAAGAGCGAAGCTTATTGTTTACTGTATTATATGATTGTAAAGAAATTTAACATTTTATTTTCAACTTTTTAATATTTAATTTAATATCTAATATTTTCAACGTTTTAATATTTAATTTAATATTTAGTATTCTCAACTTTTTAATATTTAATTTAATATTTAGTATTTTCAGCTTTTTAATATTTAATTTAATATTTAATATTTTCAACTTTTTAATATCTAATTCAATATTTAATATTTTCAGCTTTTTCATATTTAATTCAATATTTAATATTTTCAGCTTTTTAATATTTAATTCAATGTTTAATATTTTCAGCTTTTTAATATTTAATTCAATATTTAATATTTTCAACTTTTTAATATTTAATTCAATATTTAATATTTTCAGCTTTTTAATATTTAATTTAATGTTTAATATTTTCAACTTTTTAATATTTAATTTAATATTTAATATTTTCAGCTTTTTAATATTTAATTTAATATTTAATATTTTCAGCTTTTTAATATTTAATTTAATATTTAATATTTTTAATTGAATATATTTAAAATAATATATTTATATATATGGAATATATTGAATATATTTAATATAATTGAATATATTTATTTTAACTGAATACATTTAAACTATTTTAAATTCGACACGTACATACCTTTTTTTAAACGAAGTAGTAAATTATAATAAAGCGACAATTATCAAACGGTTGTGATTAATTTAAATTTCTCGTAAATTCATTGGAATTCCTACAAAAGTAATTGTTAATCGATAATTATCAGTAATTGAATGGAAACATTGAATAAAAGTCTTGTTACATTTCCATCGACATTAAATTATCGCCATTGGTACAGTTATGCTATTCACTGTACACTCCGAGCCTCGAATTTCATTCATTCCCTACTTCATAGTCTCGAATTAAGCGATCGTTGCACGTTTTCAAGTATCTTCGCTTAAAATACGCGAAAGAAAGAAATAATTTAAGTTTAGCGTGGATGAAACTACTGAGCGGTTTATTGTGGTGTGCACGAGAGGAAACACTGTTTCGGGAGACTCACTCATAAATATGGCGGTGTAAGGTATTCCTTCGGAACCCTCGATCGGCAACGTGTTGTAAGAGATGTTGAAGGCGTTGTGGGTGTCCCCGTGTATGACGACGTTGTAGCGGTTGCTGTACTCCGTGTCCGCGTCCTTTAGTATCAGCTTGTTGTCGTCGACCAGCTTGTCACCCTGTCGTCGATAAAAGTCCACGAATGAGAAAGTCAATTGAGAACGTTTGCGAAGAAATGAGACGATGAAAGTAAAAAAAGATAGAGACTCGAGTTAACTAGACTGGTGGAACTATCGACCATTGAAATGTAACATTTATTAGTAAAAAAAATGAAGATGAAAGAAGAAAACGTGAAGAAACTTTGTGGTACGATGAAAGAACACAAGCTTCTGTTTATATATTTCACTAGAGATCATTTGAATCTCTAAAAGTACTGTTGGATGACCAACCCGGACAATATTGAATCTATGCAAATATTGACAGTGAGCTAGCAACAATTCACATAAAAGTGGACTGTGAATAGTTTGTCATAAGGTAAAATCCAATAGTTGGTCATGTATGTCCCTTCTTCTTCCACTTGACAATGATAACCAAATATATATAAGGACATGCTTTAGAGACATTCGATAGCATAAAACATTATAAAGACATTCTATATCATTAAGAGCATGAAACATTCTAAATTATTATAGAGACATTCTATATCATTAAAAGCATAATATATTCTAAATCATTATAGAGACATTTTATATCATTAAAAGACATTTTATATCATCAAACATTCTAAATCATTCTACATCATATTCAAGAGCATTAAACATTATAAATCATTCTATATCATTCTATTTCATACACGACCAAGACTGTATGGGAATAAACTCTTCTAAATTGTAAGCGTATTGACTCCATTACACGGAATCCAACAGTATACTATTACAAATATATAAAAATTCTTCAGTTGGTCATTTTTTTAGTTATAGTGTTAAAGTAAAAGAAACAGAATAGTATCTTTAGAATACACAAGTATTTCATTTATGTATTTTACAAAGGATCATTCGAGTCTTCAAAAATGTATTGTTTATATGTAGCTACAGAATGTCTAATACAAATTGTCAATTAGTCATTTTGACCATTTTGGTAGTTCTAATGTTAAAGTAAAAGAAACAGAAAATCTTTGTAATACACAAGCTTTTATATATATATATATATATATATATATATAAAATTAGATGTATTAGCTTTTATATATATAGTATATATATAATATATTGTAATGTATTGTATATTGTATATTGTATTATATTGTTTTATATATATATACAATATATTGTATTATATATATCTAATATATTATATATAATACACAACGTAATATATATATTTTACAAAAGATCATTCGAGTCTCCAAAAGTGCACTGTTTTGTAGCTGTAAAATGTCTAACAGAAATTATGAATTGGTCATTTTTATAGTTTTGGTAGTTCTAGTATTAAACTAAAAAACAGATCAGAAATTCACTCACCGCGGTAAACTCCCCGAGACTCACGTCGACTGAGTCATTGCCCTGCGCCATCGGCGGATTGTCGTCTTGATCCAGAACATCGATGCGCAACGTGTCGATCGGCGCGTACTGGACCCCGGTGATCTCCTCCCAGACGACGCATTGAACTTGAACGGCGACTCGCGGCCCGGGCCCTCCCGGTGCTGGGCCCAACGAGTCCCTGTCCAGAAACGCGTTCGCGAACAGCGTGTCGTTGGACACGTGAAAGTACTCCGTGCCTGAAAATTGTCAGAGGTAAAACAGTTCGTGTCTTACCTTGCAGCGTGTTTCTCCGGGGATCGTGAGGAATTCAGGCGACATTTTTAATAACGACTCGTAAAAAGTATTAAACTGAAATTTGACATAAATATTACTTTCCAATGATATACAACATGATATATTTCACGTCCGTTTTGTCAACTTTATACAACAAATTTAAGACAAATTGTTTACTTCATAGTAAAAATATTTACTATATTTCTGAACTAAATGAACTGATCACATCTAAATAAAACTTTTAATTTTGAAATTATGAACGAAATCGACATACAAATATACAAAAATATTTAGCTTAAAATGTAAAATTAACCGTTTGCGCTGGCAACTGATTGCGGACCATAACGAGTGACCAAACCATATACAATAATTCGTCGCCTTCTTTTTGAAATCGTCGGTATATCACTGGATAGAAATTACTGAAGAGTACTAAATTTATTACTTGTTTTACCTGGGTTATACTTAAATATACCTAAAACTGAGAAAATGTTGCAATTTTGTGATAAAAAATTCTTGACATGCGTGGCAAGAGGTTAACCACTTGTACTGGTAACTGATTGCGGACCATAACGAGTGACCAACCGTACACAATAATTCGTCGCTTTCTTTCTGAACTCGTCGGTATCATATCACTGGATAGAAATTATTGAAAAGTAACAAATTTATTATTTGTTTTGCCTATTTTGTTTTACCTAAATACACTTAAAACTGAGAAAATGTAGCAAGTTTTGGCCGACAAAATCTGGACGTGCGCGGCTCGTCATTCTAGCGCAAGAAATTAACTTGTACTGGTAACTGATTGCGGACCATAACGAATGACCAAACCGCATAAAGCTCGTCGCTTTCTTTTTGAACTCGTCGGTATATCACTGGACAGAAATTGGAAGTAATAAATTTATTATTTGTTTTGCCTGGGTTATACTTAAATATACTTAAAACTGAGAAAAGATGTTGTAATTTTGGGACAAAAGATTCTCGACGCGCGTGACACGTCATTCCAGCGCAAGAGGTTAAAATAAAATTAATTTAAATATTTGAGTTGAATGTTATTATAACATAAAGAGTAAATAATTTTTTTGTAAAATGTCGCCTGAATTTCCAATCTGGCCTACTGTACGCCTGACAGATTAATTTCCTCGAGGAAGAGATCGTTTCTAACCGCTTCTAACAAAAAAGGATGTCCCATCTTCCTGTCTGGAAAACGGCGATAGATGGACCTACGGGCAGAGAGAAAAAGGGAAAAAAGAAAGAGGTCACTTGCCGTTTAACAGCTTGTAGCCGGTGACGCGAAAGCTGGGACAAAGGTCCGTATAGATGCCGGGTCCGAAGGTGCCGATCATTGCGATCGGCTGGTTCTCGTAGATCCGATACCTCGACGTGTTCCAGAAGCACATGTCCTGTAAACGGAACAACGCCCAATCGAAACAAAACAAAGAAGAGAATCCAAAATGATCACAGAAAATCAAATAAAGAAGAAAGAATCCAAAACGATCCCAAAAAGAGTCCCAAACAATCAAACGAAAAAAACAGAATTCAAAACGATCAAACAAAAAGAAGAATAAAAACGAAAAGATATCTAAAGAATTCCACCTACCTGAACAGGTCAAAATGAGTCGAAACAAAAAAGAAAGAATCCAAGACGATCCCAAAGAATCCAAAAGAATCGCAGATAATCAAGCAAACAAACATCCAAAAACTCTGGAGGAGAAGGAGGAAAAGAAACTGTAGTTACCTGAACGTAGTCGGCGCAATTGATGGTCGTCGCGTTAACGCGCAATGGTTTCACCGTGATCTCCAGGACAGCTTCGTTGGTACGCTCCTGTTTCGCCAGGACGACGATCGTGTCGGACCGGGAAGACGTACCTTGACAAGCGAGCGACGATAGCGCGAGAGTTTTCGCGAACTCGAATTTTGTGGAAAATCGGACTTATCAAGAAGATACATTGCTAACAAAAATTAGGGGATATTTCAAAATGAATATGAAGCAATAAAAAAAAAGAAACATTTGATTTTCTGCTTTTTTGCTCTGCTTTTTTGCTTTTCTGATGTTTTTGTTTAATGAAAAGAAAAGTCGATTTGCTTCTTGCAATATTATACCAATGCAAATATCCCTTAATTTTTATGAGCAGTATATTTCTGGAATAAAGGGCACACTGCGTGTGTACGTGTGTATGTGCTGTAAATTATTTCTTGCAAATCGTTCGCTTCGATATTTCTCAGAGTCAAACTTTTTTTTCTTACAAATACGAATTATATACCTTCGTCGGAGAGTCCGTGCAGGAACAGGCTGTTAGTTTCAGGATCTATAGAAACGAGCGGCTCGCGGGGCACGGTGACGACGCGGTAGCTCGCTTGGCTCGGCTCCGTCGAGTCGTTTCGAAGCGTCCTCAGCTCGAGCAACTTCAACCTCCGCGAGAGTCCTCGTTCGCCGTCTCGCGAAAAATACGGTATCCTCACGGTCAAGTTCGACTGCGGAAAGTAGAGCTCTGAAACAGAACGACGCGAACAGAAAGATTATCGAGCTGTTGTTTCTTTCTTCAATTGCGAAGCGTCTCGCTGGCTCGCTCGATTGTAAAGTTCAACGGCGAGGGTTCGCGTACGGTCAACGCGGTTCGTGGAAACGACTGGTGTCAAGGTGAGCGCGTTTAATCGATACGCAGCAGGTAGTTCAAGCGGTGTCGAGTGGCCGCTGCACGCTCTTACGGGCTAGGAATCGCGATCAAGATTCGTTCGTGACGTTTTCGCGGAACGTGTGATGCGATACGATGCGATACAACACAAAGGAAAATTGTCGTTGAAACATTTCACCTTTCACCTTTCGTATTTTCGATCCGATCGATACGCGGGGGACGAAGCTTCGACTATTCATGTCTATACGACGAGTAAAAACAGAGACGGGCGATCTCGTGCGAAATTCATCGCGCGGAGGAATTCTCGGACGAGCGTCGGTCCGGCGATTCCGAGCGGTGGAAGAACGCGCGCGTGTTGGGTAAAAAGGGTGAAGAAAGAGGATATTTCGGGTAGGGAGTGATGGCCGCGGCGATGCATGTATTATAGTTATGGGGAGGGTGAGGGTGCGATGGCGCGAGGGTACGGTCGAAGGCGGACGAAAGAGCGCGAGCGACGGTCACGCGAGAGTCGAGTTAAGTCGTGCAAACTATTTCGTACGTGCACGCACGCTCCTCCCCCTCTCTTCAAACACTCGTATCGAAACGTGTTAAAGCGAACTGACTCGACGAATTACGCGAATCATTCTAACCTCGTGCCACGCACGTCGACAACTTTTTGTCCCACAAAATTACAACATTTTCTCAGTTTTAAGTATATTTCACCACTTGCGCTGGCAACTGATTGCGGACCATAACGAATGACCAAATCGTATACAATAATTCGTCGTTTTCTTTTTTGAACTCGTCGGTATGTTATCACTGGATACAAAATTATTCAGAAGTATTAAATTTATTATTTGTTTGGCCTGGATTATACTTAAAACTGAGAAAATATTGCAATTTTGCGATTAAAAGAATTCTCGATGTACGTGACAAGAGGTTAATCACTTGCGCTGATTGCGGACCATAACGAGTGACCAAACCGTACACAATAATTCGTCGCTTTCTTTTTGAACTCGTCGATATGATACCACTGGATAGAAATTATTGAGAAATAATAAATTTATTTTACCTTGGTTATACTTAAATATATTTAAAATTGAGAAAATATAGCAATTTTTGGACGACAAATTCTCGACGTGCGCGGCACGTCATTCCAGCGCAAGAGGTTAAGCACTTGTACTGACAACTGATTGCGGACCATAACGAGTGACCAAACCGTACACAATAATTCGCCGCTTTCTTTTCGAACTCGTCGGTATGATATCACTGGATAGAAATTATTGATAAGTAATAAATTTATTATTTGTTTTGCCTATTTTGTTTTACTTAAATACACTTAAAACTGAGAAAATATAGCAAATTTTGGACGACAAATTCTCGACGTGCGCGGCACGTCATTCCAACGCAAGAGGTTAAGCACTTGTACTGACCACTGATTGCGGACCATAACGAGTGACCAAATCGTATAAAATAATTCGTCGCTTTCTTTTTGAACTCGTCGGTATGGTATCACTGGATACAAAATTATTGAGAAGTAATAAATTTATTATTTGTTTGGCCTGGATTATACTTAAAACTGAGAAAATATTGCAATTTTGCGATTAAAAGAATTCTCAACGTACGTAACAAAAGGTTAACCACTTGCGCTGATTGCGGATCATAACGAGTGACCAAACCGTACCAAACAATTCGTCTTCTTTTTGAATTCCTTTTAAATCGATATGTTACTGTACAGAAATTACTAAAAAGTAATAAATTTTTCATTTGTTTTGCCTGGGTTATATTTAAATATACTTAAAATTGAGAAAATATTGCAATTTTAGGACAAAAAAGTGCGTGGCACGTCATTCCAGCGCAATTAGTTAAGTATAATCCAGGCAAAACAAATAAATTTATTCCGTAGCAATAAAAGTAGATAAAATAAAATTTGCCTATTTATGCACGTGACTGAAGAAAAAGTAAAAGGAGATATGGCGCTATAATTGGAACCAAGCACATTGTACACAGAGTGGAAAGAAAGGATTGTCCGTAGATGAATTCTACACCCTCAATTTGATGGAAATAGATGTAAAGAACCTGCCACGAAATTGATCTTAACCTTGAATTTCAAGCCAAGAAATTTCGCATTATATTCTGCTCATCACGAAGGTCAAACTTTTTCAAGAAACCTAATAATTCTCTTGAAAAAGCTTCTTAATCATTGAACGCTGCAGACGCATGCGTGCTAACAGCGACTTTATGATTCAGCAATTGAAAAATCGTCGTTACATCAGTAACTAAATATTACATTCACGAATATTTATTTCAATGCTTAATTATACGTGAAAGCCAATTGGACAAAGTAAAAACGTCTTGTTTCAAGTACAAAATCATTCCCTATTGAGAAAAGTATTAAGAGAGCGAGAATCTTTGAGATTATGGGACAGCAAAAATCGACAGGATCGGCCGAACGATCGAGAGAAACGGGGAAAGTGGGAACGGTTCGTTGTATAGATCTCTGGAGGCACGTGATCGTTGTACCTGGAAACCCTATTCGCACGTTGAGTTACGATTCCCGAAAACAGAGACACCGAAGACACTGAACACGATACGCGCAGCCATATAACTCGTCCAGCCCTCTTCGGATCTGCAAGGACCTTGGACGTTGGGGCGTCCCCCGCGAAGCGAGGCCTCGACCACTTTCGCCACCTCGCCTGTGCGCCACCATAGATAGTGCCACCATCCCGACGTACGCGCATCTAGTGTCACCCTCTGTCCTCTCTGTAAGTTGACTCGCCCCCCAAAACACGCGCGTTCTTTCCGCCGAATTGTCTTTCCCTCCTCGAACAGTTTCCTTCTCGTTTTCCCCTCTTTCGAACACCTACCACGTATTTTCCACGAGCTATCGTTATTCTCGAGCGACGCGACTCGTTTCGATCAGGCAGCCACCTGCGCAAACATTTCTGGTCGAAAAAAATTAACAAGTTTCTCATTGTCGCGCGACACTTGCGTTCGTCGTAGATCATTTCGTCTTCTCTTTAATAGTAAATATAGCCAGCATTTTATGTTCACCTATCCCTGTTCATAACCGATGTCAAATGACCGATTATGAAATGAAGGTCCCTGAAAAACAGTTACAGTTAATTTAATGTTGGAAAGAGTGCAGAATATAATTTTTTTTAGACAAGAGAAGAAAAAAGATAAATTTAGATAAAGAAAGAAAGACAGCTAATTGTCAATTTAATATTGGGAACAATGCACGGAATGATATTTAGATAAGAATCACATGAATTTAGATAGGAATAGAATAACTAGAATAACTTTTTAGAATAACTTTTTTAGAATAACTTTTTTTAGATGAGGAAAGAAAGACAGCTAATTTAACAGCGCGCAGAATATAACTTTTCTCGATAAGAAGAGAAACTGTAACTATATTTTAATTTTTTTTTTTTTTTTTTTATTGTGAGAGTCAAATGAACGAAACAAGTGACAATTTGAGCGCAGAATTTGAAATCAGGTTTTTCAAACCGGTCATTTGACACAGCCATTTCGGTACGTTTAGTGTCAACAGCTTCTCTCCCCCCTCTCGGTTCTGTTTCCCTTTTCGGATCCGTTCCGCTTCGATCCTTCGGTTTCCCTTTCGTTTCGTTTCTCTCTTTTTCTATCGCCGACGGCCCCATTCGTTTCCACGGCGTATTCGTATAGCACGCTATACCGATTTCGGAAATAGCTTAACTATATTTAGGTGATTTCGACAGCTCGGAGGCTCGGGAAAAGGTGAGCTTCCCCTGCGAGCGACTTTTAAAACGCCGTGACAACCGACTTACGACCTCCTTAACATCTCGGCCGATATTTATCGGCTTTTTCCGAGAGATCGAGGCGAACCTCGAAAGAGAAAGAAGGGATGGAGCGTCAAGGTGAGGGCATTCGCCTTAAACTTAACTTAACTTCGCGCCTATCTTCCCATTAAATCCTTCTCAAAATGGAAAAGAGAATTTCTCAGTCGCGTTTCTTAGCGAGATCGTTCGAGCGAAATCACCGCGTCGAGAATTACACGATAAGGCATGCGTCGTTACCCCTTTCGAGTCTCGCCCTGCGTGTACGTACACTCCTGTTCAAAAGTCTTCAATTTTTAATAGTCGGTACTTATCGTGGATTAATCCTGTATACGTATTTTACAGTATGTAATGTAATAATACGATATATTAATATATTGGCAGAGACTTTATTACACAAGGTACGTTTTATATATATTGTATCTATAATTGTATTTAAAGTATTGCACTTAATTTTAATTTAAACGTACTTTGTATTTAATTTAATTTTTTCATGTATTGTATGATATGATGATATTGATACATTAACAGACACTTTATTGCACAAAGTACGTTTTATATCTAATGTATCCAATTGTTTTAATTTAAATGTATTTTGTATCCAATTAATTTTAATTTAAACATACCTTGTATTTAATTTAATTTTTTAATGTATTGTATAATATGATAATATTGATACACTAACAGAGACTTTATTGCACAAAGTACGTTTTATATTTATTGTTTCAAATTGTTTTAATTTAAATGTATTTTCTATCCAATTAATTTTAATTTAAACGTACCTTGTATTTAATATAATTTTTTAATGCATTGTATAATATGATAAAACAATATATTGATACATTAACAGAGACTTTATTGTAGAAAATACGTTTTTATATTTATTGTATCTAATGCACTTAATTTTAATTTAAATGTATTTTGTGTTTCATTTAATTGAATATATATATATATGTATATATGTAATATATTAATACATCAACAGATTATTTATTCTTTAAAGTACGTTTTATATTTATCGTGCTTAACTATATTGTATTGTATTGTATGTATTGTATT